TAGTTTGAAGCCAAAGCCGACAAAGGGTGGTGATTTCCCTGTTAAGGTTTGATTCTGATGTTGATTAAGTTGGGGTTTTTTTTTCCTTCAGCAAAATTGTGGACAGACTTGTTTGGGTAAATGCAATTCTACGTTGATGTGTGGGCCCTTTAGGGGGTGCCATAGTGCTTTAGAATCTTATGAGTATTTAGTGTGGTTGTGTCAGCCTGGTGGTCTGGAAGAATGAATGGTGGCACCTTCAAAACAGCCTTTCTCTTACTTCAGGTTCATCAAGAAATACTTGATCTTTATGAAATGCTTTACTTTTCTATTTTAAGAAAATATAATCTGGTTTTTATTTTCTTTAATTCTTTCAAGCTTATATGGTAAAATTTACAGTCTTAATACAGTTTAAGGCTTTCATTTAACACTTCTAACTGAAACTGTTTGACACTTCTAATTGGAACTAATTGAAATAATTTTTGAGCACGCATATGCAAGGCATCACAAAGAAAAGTCAAAGATAACTAATTTATTTTTAAAAAGACCCTGCCCATAAGAAACTTAGGAGGTAAAATGCAAGGCACAAGTAGCTATAATGTGTATTAAAGCTGAAATGTTCACAGAAGAAAGAGAGAGGATACTGCCAGTTAGGTATTTAGGAAAGGCTTTTTGGGCTAGGCGAGGGTTGAGATGGACCTTTTGAGGAAGAAAGGCCAAAGATTTGGGGTCTGCAACTCCAGCCTGGAAACTAGCATGCAGCCCACCTAGGGACCACTCAGGGCTGTCTCATAAGTGGCACCTTGTCTTTCAGTGCCCTGTGTGTTTGCCTCCTCTGCAGGTCCTTTAAGAAACATCTGCCTGCCTTGAGCCCCAGGTTCATCCCCAAGGATCAGCCCTCAGCTGGCCTGGGATTGTGGTCAGAATGGCGTTGCTGGTCTTGGGAGCAGGCGTGCTCTGGACACAGGTCTAGCCTCTCCAGAAGCACTGTCCCTCAGGTGTCTGGCCAGCACTGAGGAGTCAAAGAGGGGGTCTTTCTGAACTTGTACCCAGTGATGTGTTCTCACTCTAGCTTTGACAGTCCTCACTGGAGCCAGGGCTACATGTGTCCTAAGAGAATGGCAAAGGCCTCCTTGTCTTGCTTCAGCTACTAAGCAGAATTTTACATAGTAACTAGGTAGACACTGATTTAGAATCCAGATGGACCTTATGCTCACAACAGGAATCTGCTCAAAGGTACAAAATTGGAATTATTTGTAAATCAGGAGGCTGTAGAAATAACTTATTTCTAATGTAATGGGCAATCATGATATTGTTATGTACATTTTTTTTGTTTGTTTCACTTTTAGCCTTTGGAGACTCGACTTATTTCAGAGACCACATCTGTGTGCAAACCAGAACAGGTGGCCAAACAAATTGTTAAAGATGCCATAGTAAGTCAAATCCTTGGTCTCTGTACTATTCGTATTTGTACTGCTATATTTCTGAAAAGATATTTGTCTAAGTACTTATTTCAAGACATCAATTATTATAAGTGTTTAGTCTGTTTAGAGTCATCATATCTAATGCTGGAATTTTTCTTCTTTTATGTGTTTTATTGACTCCATATTAGAGAGTAGGCTCCTGGAAACTGATTGTATACCTTAACCTTAGGAACAGGTTTACCAGAAGGATGTCTGGAAACACCAGTTCTTTAAAAAGAAAGTGAGACTTTTCCATACAGTGTAAACAATATATACTATGTCCTATATACAACTGGCTGTCTTCTTTCCCATTCCTGCTTCCCAGTATCATTTTCCTAAAAGTTAGCTAATGAGAAGTGCCACCAACCCTGTGAGCCTGTCCTCCTGTCTTCCCTGTTGATATGTTTTTTTATTGAGAATCCAAAATGATATTTTAAGAAATGATGTGCTGTTTCTAGAAGAACAACATGTGTCTCATGCTTTTTGATAACATTTCCGTTAATGCAGAAAAATACACATTTATGAGGGATGTCTGTAAACCAGAGGCCCACATTAAATTTGGAAAATCTTTAGGACCATGGGAATGAGAGGGGACAGCATGTGGTAGACAGCCTTGAAGTAGCGTAAGTGCTATCACATTAGACTGAACTGATGGAATAAGACTTACTGAATTCTGTTAAAATATATATGCATGTGAAGAACTTTGCTCCAAGTACGTTAAAAGGCCCAGGAAGATGGCACAAGTGGAACTTTATTTTTGCTACTTATCTCAGGTCAAAGCAAATGCATTTAGTGGGTTTTTTTCCTTTCTTTTTTTTTTTTTTAGGCAGAGTTTTGCTCTTGTTGCCCATGCTGGAGTGCAGTGGTGCGATCTTGGCTCACTGCAACCTCCACCTCCTGGATTTAAGCAATTCTCCTGCCTCAGCCTCCTGAGTAGCTGGGATTACAGGCACCCACCACCATGCCCAGCTAATTTTTTGTATTTATAGTAGAAACGGGGTTTCACCATGTTGGCCAGGCTGGTCTCAAACTCCTGGTTTCAGGTGATCCACATACCTCAGCCTCTTGGCCAAAGTGCTGGGATTATAGGCATGAGCTACCATGCCTGGCCTATTTGGTATTTTTATTGATGTTAAATAGCTATTAGTATTTTGGCAGTATTCATTTAGTTTGATGGTTTTCAAACTTTTCTTCTCTTGACTGTTTTATATTCTTATAAATTGTCACAACCCCAGAGAACTTTCATTTATTTATATGGCTAGATTTATTGATAGTTGCCATATTTGAAATGGAAGCTATGTGGAATATTTATTAATTCATTAAAAATAACAAAAATATACCCATTGCTTTATAACGTGACTTTTTTTTAAACAAAATTTACTACTTTTCAAAGCAACAGTTCAGCGAGAACAGTGGCAGTGGTTCACATTTTCACCTGTCTCTTTAAGGTCTACATGAACAGCTGGATTCAAATAGCTGCTTCTGCATTCCATCTGTTGTAATAACGTTGTTTTGATGGAAGGATATGAAGAAAATCTTGCCTTACACAGATACGGAGTTGAGAAAGGGAACAGTATTTTACGAGGCTTTTGAGATAATTATGGACATTCTTTTTTGATATCAAACCCAAACTCACCAAATGGTAGTTTCTTAAAGGTTAGTTGCAGGATGGAATTGGAAACTGCATCAGTGAACGTTTTGTTCTGTTACATTAAATTCCATTGGTCCATCTTGTACTTTGAATGGATCTTTTAACCATTCATTATTTCGTAACATTATGCGTTAGTCATTTGGAAAATATGGGTTGACTGAGTGATCAAAAAAATCTCTTTCATCAGTATTACTGCTGATCTTATCATAAAAGTATGCAGCTGACAGTCTCATGATGGTGGATACTAGTTTTGCCAAATCTTAATTTTTTTTCTTGAAGGCTCAGATTTTAACATTGATGACACATGTGGCCAGTTGTTTTTCCTGAAGTGACAGGCTTGCTTTCTTCATTTTCTGCAAGTCTGCCACATACTTAAGTCTGAATAACCATAGATATATATGTCAGTGGTCTTTCATATAAAAATTGTGCTCCCCAGCCAGGCATGATGGCTCATACCTATAATCCCAGCACTTTCAGAGGCTCAGATGGGTCGATTGCTTGAGCTCAGGGGTTTGAGACCACCCTGGCCAACATGGTGAAACCCCGTCTCTACTAAAAATACAAAAATTTTCTGAGCGTGGTGGTGGGCACCTGTAATCCCAGCTACTCGGGAGGCTGAGGCAGCAGAATTGCTTGAACCTGAGAGGCGGAGGTTGTAGTGAGCTGAGATCACACTGCTGCACTCCAGCCTGGGCCACAGAGCGAGACTCTGTCAATAAATAAATAAATAAGACACTCTGTGAAAGAAGTGGCAGTTCAGCCCTTGACTTACACACAGCTGCACAAGGGCTTTTCTTCCAGGCAGTTGACCTTCTGTGGAATGCAGTGCCGCAGAAGCACATTGGGCATGTTCTCATTTGTCACACAGAATACTAATAAGACATGTCCTCGAGGGTTGCCATTTAACAAAATGATGAATTTTGCTGCTTTATCAAGAGGATTTTTAAGCAAAACTGACACTTTTTGATTTTTAAAAGAGTGTTAGAATTTGTATTTTCTTTGTGTATTATTTATTACCACAAATGCATGTGGTAGTACAGGTGACAATGACTCCTAGTACAGTTTGGCAAGAACACTGTAGTTCTTGCCCATGTCTCTGCAGTTTTACAGATGCAAAACTGTATTTTCCATACAAATATAACAGTGTAGAAAAGGCAATGAACGTTTTAATGTTATTAGGACAATCACTTGTCTTCGGGGCCCGCAGGGGTCCTGGACTCACATGTTGAGAACTGTCCATCTGCCAAGGCCCTGCATCCATTTCCGAGCGCTCATCAATGCTTTGTTACCGTTTTATCTCGCCTAAAGTGAACGAGCACCCTGCATTGTTTCTGTTATGTTGGATTGATTTCCATCTACATTATTAGGATTCCCTCTTTCTCTTCTCTTCCTTCTCTTTTAGCAAGGAAATTTCAACAGTTCCCTTGGCTCAGATGGGTACATGCTCTCGGCCCTGACCTGTGGGATGGCTCCAGTAACTTCTATTACTGAGGGGCTCCAGCAGGTAAGGCCTTCCTAGGCTAGCAATCAGACACACAGACCGATGGACAAGAGAAAAACTGCCTTTCATCAAACCTTGATGGGAAGAGGTTAAGAGAAAACTAAGTAACTTCATTTGAGAATGTATTTTTATTGAGCTATCAACTTTTCCTCTTCCTCCACCAGGAATGAGTAAATAGGTTAAAGATTTAACTTCAGGAATTTAGACTGGCAAGAAGTCTTTGGTGCCATGCCTTGCAGATAGAGAAATAAAACACTGTCTGTGATGTCGAGGTGTTGATCTGGATTTTCACCTAAGCACCACTGCTCTAATATGTTTTGAAAAATGGAATACTGCTCTAGAGTAAGGGGTGGCCTTGCCTAAAACGTACTGGGATATTAGGCTAGAAAACCTTTTCTAGGAGAATCAGGTTATACAGAGCTAAATTTAGGAGATACAAATCAAGGCTTAAACACAATTCCTATTATTATGGAATTTATTATTTTGTCCAAGATACACAGTTCATGTTTCATTGATGTGCTAGGTACTGTACTTGCTCATGGAGAATCAGATGTAAGGCGACCTCCAACTTCAGGGGCTTACAGTCAAGTGGAATACACTGACCAAAGTGGTGATAGTAGACTGGGCGCGGCGGCTCGTGTCTGTAATCCCAGCACTTTGGGAGGCTGATGTGGGTGGTTCACTTGAGGTCAGGAGTTCAAGGCCAGCTTGGCCAACATGGTGATACCCCATCTCTACTAAAAATACAAAAATCAGCTGGGTGTGGTGGCAGGTGCTGTAATCCCAGCTACCTGGAAGATTGAGGCAGGAGAATTCGTTGAACGCAGCAGGTGGAGGTTGCAGTGAGCCGAGATTGTGCCACTGTACTCCAGCCTGGGCGACAAGAGCGAAACTCCGTCTCAAAAAAAAAAAAAAAAAAAAGTGATAGTAATGCAGTGTAATATAGTAGGGGTTACAGTAGAGGGAATGCTCTGGAAAAGCAAAGCCATGGGATAGTTGATAACGAGTACTACATTGTGTGCAGTAGACCACGTTCAGATTTATGTAAATGACATAGTTGTCGACCCTTATTTCCCAAGCCCTCTTTTCTTGTTACTCTGTAATATACCTACTGTCTTGTCATTCTCTTAGAGGTCAATACTCTGTTAGATGTAAGCTTTTTGAGGACCAAGCCCCCGCCTCTTGTTTGCCATTGTACCCCTAACAGCCAGTGCCTTGCACTTAGTAGGAGCTCCAGAATACCTGAGCTGAATGAATGCATGAATTCTGTTATTTTAATTTTGGGGCTGGCATGGTGGCTCACACCTGGGGTTGTTGTCCCAGACTCCCCTCCTTCTGTCCCTCACGTCAGGGATCAGTGTCACCCTTGTCACTCTGTTCTTCAAATGCTTCCATGCTCTGCAGTTCTGGCACTGCTTCTGGAGCCCAGGCCTGGCTTGCCACAGCAGGCCCCTGCCTGAATTATACACTGTTTGAGCCAGAGGTTGTAAACGATTCCCATGGGCCTGTAAAGCAGTTTTGTTTGGTCCATCTGGCATGAGTGTGTGTGTTTAAGATTTTTAAATAGTTTTAAAATTAGGTTTTATATAAAAGGTCCAGATTTCAGACTTTTCTTGGAAAATCAGAAGGTCTGGCTGCACAGTCTGCATTCTCACCTGGCAGTCATCAGCAGGCACAGGTGGCAGCTGCTCCTCAGGGAGGGGCACAGTCCCCACAAGCACTATGGTCTGCAACCCCCTGGCCAGGCCCCTGGGATGCATTTGAGTGTGCCCTCACATTTTCTACACCAGTTTTTCTAAACTGCAACTGTACTTGCATGAAAACATTCAGTGGCTTCTTGATACCATCAGGATAAAGTTTTAAAAATTCCATTGCACCTGGGTATGGTGGCTCACGCCTGTAATCTTAGCACTTTGGAAGGCCGAGTTGGGAGGATCACTTGAGCTCTGGAGTTTGAGACCAGCCTGGGCAACATAGTGAGACCCTGTCTCTA